ATGGAAGGAGGTCTAGAGCACGAGCTATTGGTGAGTAAGGAAAACGTGGTGTTGGGGCAGGTAGTTGCTGGGCGGACAGTAGGGAGTGAGAAGAGGATAAATGCATTGGAAGGAAAACCCTCAAAACGAGGAGAGGGCTCATGAAAATAGTCACTGACAACAAACATGAGCAACTTCCCAGGAATGAGTTCTGTGCCTACACAATGTTTAATGTGTATAATTCTCTATCTTACTGAGGATAAGATATGATGGAGTGAATTGTATCTTGAACATGGCTTGTTTTTACTAGAAGTGCAATAGCATTTTTGCAGGCTCCAATAGGCAAAGGAAGATAGAGGAGAGGGAGTGGGGGAAGAGAGCGACGGAAATGGGGATTGAGTGAAGGAGGGAAGAGGCAAGGGAAAATAAGGGGGAGAAAAGGAAAAATGAGATGCCGGTAAGACTGAGAGTTGATGCCATAGGTACCACAGCTCCTGCTCTACTCAGCGACTTCCTGACGTAGGCTAAAGTCCTCAGATAACTTTTTCCCTGTCATTTTCATCCACAAATCTCAACTACAATTGCCTTTTGAAAGGTACTCATCTGCTTCTCAAATGTTGTTCCTACAGAAAGACATCTTTCGAATCTAAACACTATTGTGTGTCTCAGCCACCTGAAAAGAACAATTACGGAGAGTAATTGGGCAAATTAAGGGTATAAATCCCAGAAGAAACAATGTATTTTGACAAGAAAAATTGGTTGGCAAATGTTAGGTTTTTATGAGTAATCATGATGGTTCTTTAAGTAATTATAATTTGTTCTACACTCTGTCACAGTTGTTTTGATTTGTGGCTTTTTATTAGTGAATAAAGTTATTTGGTTGTCCTTATTTTTAGGAAGAGATTCACAGTATTGAAATATTTCAAATACCAGTGATGTTAAATTTCTTGAATATCTTCCCTTTCTAGTGTCTGATGAGTCATTGGACTGTCATTCTGTCCCGAGAACATTATGGTGACACCAGTCTTAGTCACAAAATCATTACTGTGGCAACTGGGCGGGGGGCAGGATACGGGAAGAAATCTACACAATGAGAAAGAATTTGGCTTAATCTTAAGGTTGAAGTTATCACCCACAATTTTAAAGCAAATTTATCTTAAAGTACATTTTCAAATTTCCCAATGCTCTGCTGCCCTGTTATAAGGCTAATCTCAGATGAATGAAGTCTAGGGGCTGCAGGGATATGCAATTTGGATGCTGTAGCTTCATAATTCAATTTTCTTTTCACAAACATGATGAATGAGGATTAGGAGTATTATTCTGCAGGAAAACTAAGTGCAGTCATGGAACGTAAGCCCAGCTGTGTTCTGTTACACCCTAGAAGCATAATGCTAGAGCACATCTAAAGGCTATCTGGTTCAGTGCTCAGCTGAAATATAAAACTCACAATAATAACGCTCTTATTTTCACCTTCATGTGGAAGCAAACAGACATCAAATATTGATTGGTTAGTAAAGCATTTGCATTGGTAATGCATTGCATACTGTTGAAAAATCTGAATAGAAAGAGCTGTTTTCAAACACAATAAATAGATCAAATAGCTCTTCTGTAAGAATCAAAGCAGCTTTCCTAGTTATTTTCCAACTCATCAAAATATAACACAATATTGTGACTTTCATTTTTCAGTGTAAAAATGAGTTACAAGTGGAACGACAAGTAGAACTGACTTTGTTTTTCACTACTCTTCGGAACTGGGTGGTCAAAGATTTGACAACAGGCAAGGAAGATAATATGAATAATTAACACTGTAAATTTGTCTCCCTTATTAATACATTAAAACTCAAAGAAACTAGTCGGGAATCTAACGTTATCTAACAAACATTCTTTCCACAGTGAGTATTTAACCTGTACTGTCTTTGGCTCTTCATTAGGCCTAAGGCTTAAAAGCCAAATAAGACAATCTTAACACATTGACTACCACACTAGGATAAAAAAAATTCTTCTTGGGGCCACTGTGTTTTATTACAAAAATAGAATAAAAATTTTGAAAGCAAAATGATCCTTGCTAATTTAAGGAAAAACGAAATTTATTGACTTCATTCATTTAATCCACACTTTTAGAATTAATTTGTCAATATTAATTGTAACAGTAAGAACATCAACAAGTAAGATCTTCATGAACCAGCTGCAGGGTTTTGCCCAGGTTTTGCTTCACAAAGAAAAAAAAAATGCAGCCTCAGTAACTGTTGGGAGCAAGAAATGTCCTAGCCAAGCTCAGTGAGGAAGCAGCAGCAGAATGGCAGGGCTTGGGGCACGTGATCGCACATTTCATATACTTGGCAGCACCTCAGACTTTCATAGGAATAGAAATGAAAGACTTTTTAGTTCTCAAAAATAAAATGTTTCAGATTTGATTCGCCTCTGAATTATACTTAGGAATAGGGGAAAATTAGCTCAATCTCCAAGACACCCTCCAACCCTCCATCTGCCTGTTCACCCCCATGCCACCCCAACACCTTCTGTGCTCCTATCCCACCACCAGTGCCCACCGGATTTTGTTCCCACAGGCGTCTCTCTGAGCCTCTAGTCTAGGCATCGTCAAACTATGGCCCGTGGGCCACACGCGGGTGTTTTTGCTCGTTTGTTTTTTTACTTCAAAATAAGGTATGTGCATTGTGCATAGGAATTTGTTCATAGTTTTTATAAAAACTATAGTCCGGCCCTCCAACGGTCTGAGGGACAGTGAACTGGCCCCCTGTTTAAAAAGTTTGAGGACCCCTGCTCTAGTCTCTGCTACTGGTCTATACCCTACAAACTACGTTCACCACCCAACGCCAAAGCCTTCTTAACACTCCCAGCAAGCCTGCAAATCCCACTCCAGGAACAACGTTGTATCTAATGTCACAAGCCGTTGAACCTCCTTTAGGGACAATTTTGAAAGCCTGGCTTTTATGCTTCCAATAGTTGTGATTTGTGAGCAAATTACCAAACCCAGAAAGGCTGCTAATCTTTGCTACTTGCTCCTATGAGCATGTTGTTAATAACGTCATTATATTATTTGTTAATGATAATCATGTATTATTTTGTTATGGTAATGAACTATTGTTCTTTCAGATTAACTCCACAAGGGCATTCATCTAGCCTCTACTTTTGCCTGAATCTGTTAATTAAATGGCCAGAGGTATCTCTATAAATTAATCACTTCACCCACCACTGAAACCTAACAGCTGTCTATATGACACAGAACTGTTGTTTGCTTTGGTGAGAAGCTGTCTCCCCACAGTTCTGGCCAGAAATGAAGATGAGTAACATAATGAATAAGCATCATAAGGGAAAATTCAGGGCAATTTAAATTAAATCATTTCTGCTTTGCTGAATTGCCCATGTATGGCATGATACAAAAATTAATACGTGATTTAAAATACTGGAGACAGGAAAGAAAGCCCGCCATTTACTTTCTTCTCAGAATTGGAAAATAGAGCACAGATACACCGTCTTCCTCAGCTTATTGCTTATTATTTTTATAAATCTCATGATTATTGGGATCTTGGTTTTTGGAGGACAATAGACAATGAGGAAAGCCATTATTTCTACTTTCAGATCTCCCACACTCCTAGTCCTTGGCAGTTTAATCCGAATAAAAAATGATCACTCACTTTTCTCTAATTTTCTTTCTTTCTTCCCCATCATCTGGTCCATATTCATAATTACTCCCTTAGATTCAGATAATTGTAGAGATTTTGATAAACATGCCATGATATCTGTGCATTCACAACAACCGAAATCGATTTGGTAACAGCATTCGATAAATATGTTGAGCAACTGACTAGTAAGTTGGCTAACAGAATTGTCTCTCAGGATTTTCCTAGCATGGTCCCTACCCAGTAAAATATATAGAAATTACTTGTGAACAGGAGGGTGACTTGAAGGAAGCACATTTTTGTTCCTCCGCCCAAATTTCTACTTAAATGACCACTAAAATATACCACTATATTTTTACAACAGCTGAAAACTAGACATAAACACCATCCATACACTGTACATTTTGATCTACAGGAAGGCTGGCATGATTGTCTGATTCTGAGAAATCAGGGTGTAGAGAGTGTGAATGAGAGAATGCCTTGAAGACTTCCTCTTGATCAGTCTTAAAGTTCAAGAACTAGAGGCAAAAATGCATTCTGCAGCTTTAAAGTCCCTCTTAGCTTTTCCCACCCGCAAGATTTGGACTTTGCTAGTAAATCACAGGTCTCATGTTCACTCCTGTTTTGTGGGGCCTAGAAAGTAGAGATCAGAGACAGCTCAGGTGTGCTCCTTATGCTCACGAGATTATGAGGAGAGAAATGGCAGGACCGCCTGTATAGTGACCTGACAATATTGATGGTATAGATGAATGTTTACTAAGTGAGAATCTGTCACTTATGTTCTCTCTCCACACCCCAGGCTGTTAGATCATGAAAATGGTTTGTATCTGCAGACTGTTCTAGACTGGGACCAAAAGGATTCACCCTAATTCCCATTGGACCCAACATTTCCCTGTGGGATGAGTTAAACTGAAATATTGTTGGATCTATGGAAATATGCTGTAGTTTGTATGAAATGGATCGCCGAAAAACAATTAGATCTACTGCCCTCTTCTGAAATGGAGTTTTCTGCCTCACTAAGAAAGGAAATTCTAATGCCTAACAAAATGAAGAATCCATTGATTCTTTGTATGATTTTATGATCAGTATTGGTGAAGTGGAGACAATTTTAGGACAAGAAGGATTATGTGGAGATGAAAAACTTAAATGTTAAAATCTAAAAGACGGTGAGGTGAAGACATATGCAAAGTAAGTTACTAATTTATTAATTGCAAATAATAGAAGGAGGCAGCAAGTTAATCTTTCTTCCTTGATGTGAGAAATAGAGAAAACCACAGAATATTTGAGGGGGAAACAGTTTTCAAAACACAGTCCATATCACAGTATGTGAAAAAAATAAGGAGAGTATAGATGTCTTAAATAAAAAGAAAGCAAGCAAAAAGTATGATAATTGGCATTAGTCAAACATGTCATTTTGGCAACGTAAATGGATGACATTCCCTGATTAAAGTGAAAAATTTTCAGATTGGTTAAAAATTAAACCGAACAACCCCAAATCCATACGATACTATTGTAAGAAATATACCCAAAATAAGAACAATGAACTATTAAAAATAGAGAAGGGCAAAGATATATTAGATGAGCACAAAATAAAGGAAAGCAGAGGCATTGGCATTAATAAGCCAGTCATCATTTTTTCTATTCCCATTCATTCATTTCCATCATGATGTACCTCTTATGTGCCAGGCAATTTTCTAGGCACTGGGAATATGACTGAGTGAAACAGAGAAAGTTCCAACCCTAATTGCGCTTGCTTTGTAATGGGGGAAACACATTAAACAAGTAATTGCATAACATAAAGTCCAATAATGACAAAGGAAACTAAAGAAGAGAATGACTGAAGCAGCCATTTTAGAAGGGAGGACATGACATTTGTCAGGGACCTGAACGGAACAAAGGAGAGTCGTGTTATTTGGGGATGCTTCAGCGATCTAGAACATTTCTTCTCAAAGTACAGCCTATGGCACATTTGTTTCCAATTAGTGATAAGGTAAGAAGATTGCCCCCAGAGTGCAAACCAACTACATCAGTAAGGACCCTGATTGCTGCAGCCAACATTTTTCTCCTTTATTGTGAGACTTTCTCGATGAAGGAAGTAGAGTGTTCGTTTGCACTCTGGCTCTTGCTTTTTTTTTTTAATTATGGCATATTATGGGGGTACAGATTTTAAGGTTTCAATAAATGCCCATTTCCCCCCCTCCCCCCACAAGTCTGAGTCTCCATCATTGGCTCTTGCTCTTTATCCTGTGGCACTCTCAGTCATCCTGTAGACAGAGGGAGCAAAGTGCAGAGGCCTGAGATAAAAGCATAATTAGCATATCAGGCAAGGTAAACTGATCAAGGAGATGAAGCTGTAAGAAATAAGTGTATTTGTCTTACCTACAACCAATAATTAACTAAATAATGATTTGACTTAGATCATTGTCTTAATTGTTTAAATAATTAGAAATATTCCTTTCAGAGATATCAACATTCAAAAATCTGTAAAGATCTCTGTCCTGAACCCACGACTTGCATCAAGACACATACATATAATTTTCAACTCACTCACATGTCACTTTGCTGTCAGTCCCAGCGTGTCTCCAGCTGCTGTCCAGCTCACAGATTCCTGAATCTCACTCTGTCGCCTTTCCTCTGGGTCATTGAGAGAGAGAGAGAGAGAAAGAGTAAAAACGGTTCAATAAGGAAGTCAGAATATATGGTTCTTATTTTATCCATTGCTCTGCCAGCCATAAGATATGATATTACTAGTGGTAAAACAGTGATGATTTCAGTTATAAATCGTTTACTATCCCCATAGAAAGTTGAAATGAAGTTGGTTATGTTTTCTTCCATTTAAACAGCTTGCTCTGGGAGCTAGCCCTGTTTTCTAGACCTAGTTTGGCACTGAATTCCAGTATTCTGTAGGTCTTATTAAATACATAAATCTTGTGTATTCTAACATACTGCTTTCTATCAACAAACCACCTCAAGTGCTTACTCTCATTTTAAAGGACAAGAACTTTGGGGAATACTAGGAATATATTGGTTTTAGCTAGAAAATGCTAACATTTGATGCTTGGATGTAGCAGAATAGCCTCAGAGTGTCCATACTCAGCCAACTAGGTGAAGTTTTAGTTCTCTGTTTGTAGGGAAAAAAAAGTCTCAGGGTACCAGCTCTAGGAGTATCACTTCCCAGGCCTCCCTATCATTCTAGGGTATAAAGAAAAGTAAAGTGGTCCCATCAAGGAAGAGTTAAATTTAAATGCTCTCATAATATAGCACTTGAAAATAGTAAATTTTTTTCGACAAGCAGTAATAAATAGTACCTTACATTTGTCTGAAATTTATACTTTACAAAGTGCTTTTAAATATACCATGTCATTAAATTTCACAACAATTTGGCAAGAAAGAAATGATAATCTCCATTTTGTTGATGAGTAATGAAAGCTATTATCTACTTCACACTCACTTCTTGCCAGACACCATGCTAAGCACTCATTCGATCCTTGCAACACTCTTGTGACGTATGTGCTATTATTATCCTTGTAATACTTACATTGAAAGCGAGGCTCAGAAAAATGAAGGAATTTTCCTAGGGTCAGGCAATTAGCAAGTGGCAGAGTGGAGATTTGAACACAGGTTTTTCTAACTCATAGTGCTCTAAACCAGTGGTTTCCACAATATTTTTGGCCACACGATGTTTAAATGCTCTGTGTGCTACTGTGTTCCTATGTGCATTCAAATATATACAAAAATAGAAATTAAAAAGAGAATAAGATAAAAAGTGCAAATAGAAATTTAAATTATTTCTCTCTACACTCCAATAGAGTATCTTGTACAACCCATGAACTTAATCTAGATGATGATGCTTCTAGATGATTACCCTCTATGGGCTTGTGTGGATGAGGACACCAAGGCCCATCATGTCTTGGTAACTTGCCCATAATCACACAATCAGTAAAGGATTCAGTGAGAACTCCACCTCGCCTCTTCTAACTCTCGGTCCTTTCCCATTCCATTCCATCGCCTCTCAGCCAGCCTCTGACCATGGCATTCTGTATCATGCTCTTGGCTAAAGGCCCACAATCCCTAGACTGGTCACAAATACCTACCCCTCTGAGCACTAGTACCACTGTTAGACTCTGAAAAGAATGCTATGGTTTGAATGTTCTCTCCAAAACTTGTTGAAATGTGGTTGCCATTGTGATGGGGTTGAGAAGTGGGGCCTTTAAGAGTTCATTAGGGCTAGGCATGGTGGCTCATGCCTGTAATCCTAGCACTCTGGGAGGCAGAGGTGGGCAGGTTATTTGAGCTCAGGAGTTCAAGACCAGCCTGAGCAAGAGTGAGACCTGTCTCTACTAAAAACTGACAAAATTAGCTGGACAACTAAAAATACATAGAAAAAAAAATTAGCCAGGTATGGTGGCACATGCCTGTAGTCACAGCTACTCTGGAGGCTGCTGAGGCAGGAGGATTACTTAAGCTCAAGAGTTTGAGGTTGCTGTAAGCTAGGCTGACACCATGGCACTCTAGCCCAGGCAACAGAGTGAGAGTCTCTCTCTCAAAAAAAAAAAAAAAAGGCCATGAGGACCCTGCCCTCAAGAATGGATTAATGCCATTGTCATGGGAGTGTGTTAGTTATCACGGAAGTGCCTTCCTGATAAAAGGATGAATTCGGCCCGATTTCCTCTCTCTGTCTTGTGAGCTTGTTTCCACCTTTTACCCCTTTGCCATGGGATGACCCTTGCCAGATGCCAGTGCCATGCTCTTGGATTTCCCAGCCTCCAGAATTGTGAGCCAAATAAATCTCTTTTTGTTATAAATTACCCAATCTATCGTATTCTGTTATAGCAGCAGAAAATGAACTAAGACAGAGTAAGAGAAATTAGTATTCCAGCTATTATAATTGTTTGAATAAATCAGGTCCAAATCCTCTTAAATTCCAAATTTTCTTGATTGACAACATCTGCTTTCATTGGATAACTGCTCACTTCTCCCCTTGATGCCATGGAGGGCTGCCTGTTTAGCACAGTCCAACATATACTTTTTTTTTTTTTTTTTTGCTAGAGTTTGTATTTGACTGTACTCTCATTTGGGGGCTGGACACTCCCCAATTTAGTGTTTACCACTTTACTTGTTTTTGTTAACATCTAGTGATTCTGTGAGTTCACTTTAATATGAACAATATAAACTGTTGTACCTAACATTGTAGGTGTCCTCAGCATACGGAAATCATCATGTCTGATCCTGAGTGCTTACCTATTTTGGGGCCAAAGGTGGCACTGCAAAATTGCCAGAGTGGTGAAGCCTCCAGGTGTGGGATGAGATGGGGTTGGAAGCCCGGCGTGGTTTCTTTCCCATAGGTGAGTATGAGCCTGAACAAGCAATGCCACATCACTAAGTGTCCTTAGCAAGAGTCTGCCAGGGACTACTATACAAACACAGGACAGGAAAAGTGAATCCAGAAGGCAGGACTCTGGAAAGAAACCAAGGGGAGCAATTGCTTTATTGAGTTGGGTTTTTTGTTTTTTGTTTTGTTTTGTTTTGTTTTTTTGAGACAGAGTCTCACTCTGTTGACTGGGCTAGAGTGCGTTTGCATCAGCCTAGCTCACAGCAACCTCAACTCCTGGGCTCAAGCAATCCTTCTGCCTCAACCTCGCGAGTAGCTGGGACTACAGGCATGCACCACCATGCTCGACTAATTTTTTCTATATATTTTTAGTTGGCCAATTAATTAATCTTTCTATTTTTAGTAGAGGCAGGGTCTCACTCTTGCTCAGGCTAGTCACGAACTCCTGAGCTCAAACGATCTGCCCATCTCGGCCTCCCAGAGTGCTAGGATTACAGGCTTGAGCCACCGCGCCCAGCCCTTTATTGAGCTTTTTATTCCAGGGACTCAAACCTTTACCTTTAAGAGTCAATTCAAAACTCCCCAGCTCTAGCCATTTATTTTTTAAAAACCATTCATTTTCATCAAATATAATGCCAGGCAAGTAATAAAAGAAATTATATTCCCTTTCTTACATTTTGTTTGCTTCAAAGAGTAGCCTATCAAAGACAAGGAAGTCGGTACTGCTGCAAATCATTTTATTTGATTTGATCTCCCTTATTCAAAAGACATGTAAGAAGTTCCTGCCATATGCCAAGTATGATGATTTGTGCTGGAGGATACAATGAGCAAGACAGGCTCCCTGTCCTTCAAAAGCCTGTAGCCTGGGAAAGGAGAGAAGGCACACACAGTCAGCTGCACTACAATTTACTACGTGACGTGTCCTGGAAGTGGTTTGGGTGTTAACTGTCTGGAAGTTCATACAAAACACAGCACTAGTTTAACTCCCTTTATCTCACCCACTTCTATATCTACAGAGACTTCAGGTGGGCTGGACACTTCACACAAGGATAAAACAAATACCTGCGGTCAACCTGGAATAGGACTGGGGCCTCTGGGTAACTGGACTGATGCCCTTGGCATTTGGCCACACTGTCTTCCTTTAGGGCATTGTGAGTGGATCACTCTTGAAAGATGTGTTCGGGATCCTTCAGTGATGGGACCTTGAATCCAGTAACAATGAGAATGACTAGATCCATCGCCTGCCTTCTTTAAGAAATCTCTGAGAAGAGCTAGAGCAAAGGCCCTTATGAGCTGGCCCCCCTCTTTGCCCCAGAAAGGGGATTTTCATGTTTATTCCTTTAGGGCATCTAACTCCAGTCATCCACAGTGATTTCTTCTCACTGACACTTGGGAAAATGTTATTTGCTGTATTTCAGCTCCTCCTGCAGGCCTAGCCCACGCCAGAGTCACAGTAAACAGAGGATAGGTGTGATCTCCCTGAGCACTCTGTCTGAAACAGCACCCACCTTCCCTTGCTTTATTTCCTTGGACTTCGCAGCTGATGGAGTGTATCTCGTTACGCTTGTGTTGTGGTCTGTGCTTCCCAGTAGAGCGTAAGTGCCTCACCAGCAGGGCCTTGGTCTAGCTTGTCAGCTGTTTTGTTTCCAATTCATAGAACCCCACTGGGCCCAATGATTGTTGGCCGGTTGAATGAATGAGCAAAGATACAGACAAACAGTTGAATATCTTGCTCTGTGAATATCTTGCAAAAAGGCCAATTCTATTAAATTCTTACCAAGTAGGTGCTGTTTAAGAAACTCAAAGATAGCCTTTCACAAACCAGACCTCCTATATTTGTGACCCTTCATTCTCTTGAAGGCATTATTTGCATATTCTTAACCCCTACGGGCCTTTCACTAGAGTTGTTTGAGTGACTTGGAATTCTAGAATGACTTTCACGTGTTCCAGTTATCAAGGCTCCCCAAGGGGGGTACATTTTATCTGTCTGACAGTGTATTCAGCACACTAGGGTCCCAGGTTTCCCGGAGAGCCCTTCAGAATAAAGTCTTTCCATCAGGTTTTAAGCAAGCACTTTTTTAGTCATCAAATAGAGACTCCCTAATGCTACTTCAAGTGATGGTGTGTCTATGGAGGGGAGGAGTGGTGGTTATCGTAGTAACATAGACACAAGGAAACCCACGGAAATCTGCACAGCCAGGCCTTGGGAAAGTGGGGGTTCTGTAGCAAAAGCAACTGCAACAGCAAAAAGGGTGGATTTGTTCAGGTAGTCTCAGCTACCTGCCACAGGCCTGTTTTTTAT